TTTTGTGGATGAGGCAAGTTGCTCCACTCTACTGAGGGCTCCATTGGCTAGCTGAAGTCTTTTGTCTACTTGAACATTGAAGAATAGCTACCTATCAAACTGGAACCTTAACCATCGCACCATCTTACTTGGCTGTAAAGTTACACCATTTTGTAGCATAAGTGTTGATGTGAGTGGCTTCCAATTTTGGGAGAAGTGGATGAGCTCAGTTTTGTCCATCTCAAATGTGACTGAGAGCTTCTTAGCTTTTTCAATGAGCTCATCTGTTGCTGCTTTTAATAGGCAAATATTTTAGTCCACTGATATTGATGCCTGTCGCAGTCTAAGCATAGGCACTTGGGCAATCTTATGGTCAGAGGTAGTTTTAATTTCAATCTATGGTGAACTACAGATTGAAGAGGATAATATCAGTTACTTTATACATGATTATTATCCCAGCCAATGACACAGATTTCTATCCATATATCCGAATTCCCTACTCATATCCCCTACTCGTATCACATTCTCGTGCCCCATCCCCGGACGTGTTACAATATTAGTATTGCAACTTATAAGGCACTCCTTGTTTCATGCTAAGCCTGCGTTAGACAGCGCAGGCTACAGGCAATTACCGGCTTACAAGCCGTCACAATGCCACTGAAATGGAAAAGTCTTCAATGTAGGACAGCTGAAGAAAGCTGGGTGGTGTTTCCAATGGGTACATAGATCTGATAGAAAGCAAGAAGAGCAAGGGGGAGATAGGACTGGCTAAGGGTGTGCCAGTGACTTGAAATACACTACTCATCTGTCCATTGAAGCATAGCTGCATTGTTCTTCCTGTCAAGAAAGAGTTGACTCATGAAATGAAATTTATTGGTAGCTGAAGTTTCCGGAGTACTTTAATTCAAGCCAGAACAGAGCCTCTACTACGCCGTTCTAAACGGTTACAACGCCTTAAATTGAAAATTTTGAATCAAATTAAATACATGTGTTTGGAGACCAAACTTTTTGGAGGGGGAAGGACTATCACAGTACTAAAATGGTAGTTGGCGTGGTTTAAGATAAAGCGGTAATTGAGCCTGTAAAGGCCTTCGTGTAGCTAGATAGCCTCTTCCCTTCTCATTGCACAACTCATTTCTTATACATTACTACACACTTCCAATTCATGCCCTATGACAGTGGATGGTGTTATAGTTAGAGGCTGACAGTGAATAGACTTATACAATATTATGCTGTAGGTATATGAACAGAAAGTAGAACACTAAACCTTGGTCCATTTATTGTGTGTACATCTATGAAACTATATACGTGCTCGCCTAACTAGTACACTAGTGATATATGCTGAGGCCTCAAGTCATACGCATTGCCCAAGCCTCGACTACCTTGTTGTCTCATATCATAACAACAAATTGTCACCTACTGGGTCAATGATCATGTAACAACTTTACATTCTGCACCACAAACAGAACAACAAACCACCAACACAAATTAGAATTCAACTCAACATCCAAACATAATGTGGCTAATCTGCCACAGGATGCTACCAAATCCAATTGACATGCCAAAACAAATGATACATCATCACCAAAATTTACTGAAGAGACAGATGACATCCCCAAATCAGGGCTTGTTGTGACCTCACACTTTTCATACTCGGACTTCAAGGTGAGCGGTAGTTGTGTGGCACGTGATAATATGTGGGGGAAAATAAACAGGACGGCGAAAGCCACTAGCTAGATCCAAGCAATCTGATCCACTTGAAATTAAAGCAATCCCTTTTGTATATAGAGAAGAAACAACCCTGAATAGTGTTGTAATTCTAACAGTCCTGCATCTGTTACACTAGTCATGTACTATCTCGTTTTCGTTTCCGTTATTTGTATCATTTAATACTGTGCCACATCTATTTTCTGTAATATTAATTAGTCTTGGCGCTTAACCCAAGATATGTTGGAAATTATGGTATTTGCATGATTCTGTCTTACACTCAGCTAGCTTGGGGGTCTACTGGTGGTCAAGACATACCTTTACTATGATAATGTTGCCATACTGGGACATGGGCGCATATCCTGGCTTATTTCTAAATTCGTCTCAGTAGGACTAATTCCTACATATATATGTAGTGTTCTCCTTCAAAAATCCTCAGTTCATTACATTTACTGAATATCTCTGAAGGTCTATTCATACCCTCTTCGTGTCACCCTACCAAGCTTCACCCTTAAGCTCTATTCAACTGCTTCATTGTTCGGCATATATCCTTCACTTCCTATACCATTCCAGCATTCCTCTACAATCCATAACCTCACAACAAATAGTACAATAACAATACTAAGGAACTCAAACATCCAAATCCAAGCTATCTCATACATTGTGACCCATTGTTATATTAACTAGGCTATATAGGAGCAGGACAATGGATAGTCTTGGGGAAGTTATGTTAAAGTTATGAGCTTGAGCGAAGATGGAGGTTGTAGCAGAATCAGTGTCAGCGGTTAGACCAATGCATTAAGTCTTGTATGAGGTTGTGAGAGGAAGATCCGAGTGGAAACAATTGTATTTAGATGTATGGCTCAGAGTAAAACTGAGATGATAAGAGTGAGATTGCGTGTTTGCATGTCTTATCAAATGTGGTTTTTTACCAGTATTTATCAATCTCCATGGATTGTAAGTTATGATCCATGTAGATGTAGATCTATGTACATAAACATATCTGGGCCAGGAACATAAAGCTAAATACATGTGTGTCGGTAATAGATACGAGAAAACTATAACCTGCATTTGAGACATAGTCATCTGCTGGAATGCTAGTGTGAAATAAATGCTAATGCGCATTAAACTTTCGGTGAATGATGTACTGATAACAGTGATATGGAATGGGGAATTTGATAGTCAAATTAGCCGGACTTACTAATGTATTATTCTTGGCATTCCAAGATATATCATATTTCAACGACTTATGCTCACAGTAGGTCTCTAATTGCTGTCGCGTGTGTTCTCGTGATATGTAAGACTTGAATCTATATTCTCGTATATAAAGGAAACTTAGTTGCAATGAATGGATGAAGTTTGAGACCTCATTATATCTTGCTCCAGACTTACTGTGTTGTTCACAGCCTAGTGCTAGAACATTCCCTTATGATATCATTTCTCTCCCACGAGAAATGACCTGCTCGTTCTCTCTCAGTATATCAGTCTCCCGCTGAATCCATTATCTCTATTCCATCGAGTTCTAGTTTGGTCCAGTAAACCCACACATACATTACACACTAAACACCCCACGGTTTACTTCCACAGTCACGTGCATATGCTATGACGCGACTTGAAACATGTACCATGGTAAGTAACATGGATAATACAACACTCATAAACCTCTATGTCATCTCAATCACCAAACAGCAAAGCTTCAATAGGGCTAAATACTCAAATAATACCAGATTCATCAAATGCTATAGAAAATATTGGCAACATACTAAAACCTAGTCCTCTCAAAAATGACTCAAACACGCCAGTAAGCCACCCAAAAGCCCCTGATATCTTCATCAGCCTTGGTAAAAATAATGACATACCCATTGGCACCCATGAAACCTGATCAAGATTCATCAGAAGAGTCATACAACAAAACATACCCTGACATAGTCAATCCATTCAATGAGAATTTCCATGATAAAGATTCAGAATACTATCAAAGCTCAGACTAGCCTTATGACCATGAACTCACATGTTCTGAAGATTAGGAATTCCCTCAATTTGATTGTATCATGACATTCTGGGACCCAGTACCAACTTAGACAGGCCATAATAGAGTCTATTTTGTAGAGGGAGAATCATGCATACAAAAAGTAGTTGTAAAGTCAAGCAAGTTAACTATTATTGCCAACATCATGGAATATCAGCATATGAATCAAAAGAGCGTAAGGCCGAGGAAGAAGCTGTGATAGGTCCAGAGGCTAAGCAATGTGGACAGCCACAATTAAGGAATACATATCACTCATTAAAGCTAGGATATTTGAAGTAACAACCCACAACAAACAAATGAAAAAGTTCCGGAGATTCGAAGAAGTACATACTAGACTTGAGGCTAATATAAAGATATGAAAAATGTGTTAAATGTACAAAGAAGTTTACTGATGTTTGATTGGTAGTTAGTTGTGATTAAATTGCTTTAATTCAATATGTGTGCCAAGAAGTCCCTCTTTACTCACAAATGCGGCTTGTTCCACACACTGGTGTGAATTTAAACATTCTTCCTTCTCTAACCTCAGTGGGTAGTTTGTTGAAGATCCTAAACCCAATGTATGCCCTCAGGCATAAGCTATTACTTACATGATTGCTAATACAACAAACTTTATATTTGGGATGCACTTGTTTAATACAAATATTATTATCTTTAACACAACCAATTATATGAATACCTTGCCCTGATCCATATCTTTGTCCTGCTATCTTCTTACTGTTATCAATAGCAAAAAAGCCAATACTTTGTAATACTACAACTTTAGCAATATTATATATACTTTGTAGCCATGAATTAGTGATCTGTGACAATGCATCATCTCCTTCTATGTAATTATTATGTAATTTGCAAAGATAGGGCATCTGTATTACATAATATGGGCTCCCAATTTATACTTTTACACTCATCTTATATTGCTCATCATCCCACTGGACTTACCATTACAAAATAATACCATGAAAAGGATGATTCATGTGATCACAAGCTTCTATGAGTCAGGTCAGCTCTTAGATATTGTATTAAGCCCACAAGTCATCATTACTGTATTATTTACAGCTATACCATTCTAAATAACAATAGGATCCTAATTTCACAGATATAAACCGTCCTCTCTTCCACTCCAACACATTCCAGTCTCCAGAAACCAGTTTCATTCAAATTTCTACTCCGCTGAGCTTATTTTCCATTCCACTTCTTCAAGTTAAATAAATCGACCTTGCAGTAAAATAAGTGTAAGATTTCAGATAAAATGTAAATTTGTGTTAATATGAATTTAGGCTATAATAACATGAAGTTCTTACAACTTACTGGCATTATTATGCTGCTAAGTCAAGCAACATCAATTTCTGCTGCCACACTACTCCCAAGGTCATCGTCATCTGGTTCAATGTTGCTTTCAAACCCAATGGTTGAAGTCTTTGCAGCTATCAAGAGATATGAAAATAATCCAGAGAAGTGGAAATCTCCGGATTCAATAGCTAAAATGAGAGCTAAAACTTTTAATTACTGTTGGAAATACAGTTTCCTGCTTTTCTTTCTATCGACCAATGTGGTTGCATGCATCTTGCCTGAACTATATTTCTGAGTTCGGGCAGGATCCCACATTTCTGATCCAATCGGACTCAACGTTAGAGTCTGCTTGAATCCCATTCTTCCCGAACAAATCCAGTCATTGGTTTGTTCGTACTTCTATTGCGTGACCCAGTATTCTCAGTCAGTGGATAATTATTTTCTGGTACGGGGTCCCACTTATTTATGCAGTCGAGTTGGTTCCGGGTAACCTCTATTTCTTATAATTCCACTGTATATATCATAATACCTGTAGTCTATTAGTAAATTAAGCAAACTGAACTTCTTCTCCGTTCTCAGGCAATTCTTACTCCGAAGTCTTCTCTATACTCTAACAATTACCCATTCCTAATTCCATTTCATGTGGATCCATCGTGGAATAAGAATTGTGAGAAGTCTTTGCTAGTTCAACACAACATAACACTAACTAACCCATAGGCCACGAAAATTATATTACCAAGGGCTCAGATGGAAAACTTAACGTCTGGGTTGTTATTTCAGATAATGGGACTTTAGTCCGTTCAGGACCAGTGTTGGAATGATAATAGTCCAAATTAGTTCTGAAACTGTTCCAACCCTCGGGACCAATGCTGGAAAAATGTAGTTTTGAAAGTTTTTGTAACTGGTACATGTTAATGATATCATAGCTACGCAATGGAAGATAAAAATTAGACAGTGTAAATAAAAATGACTCAGTATTTCAGTATTTGTCTGCCATTGCTTTGAGGATAGAAGGTAAAGAAGCTTAGTGAACAGTAGAAACTTTGATGCAAGACACAATGGTCTTGTGTCAAGAGGTACTATTTCCAATTACATCTATGATAGCTCAGTTAAAATGGTTGGAGATAAAGACAGGTAGACCGACAGCTATACTAGGAAAGGGAAGAAAATATAGGCTGGTGCAAAGATGCTAATTCTGTTCTATACAATTCCTTCATTTGTCGAATTTGTTTAATTATCTATTAGCATAATATCTATCTTCAGATTGAAAATTAGATGATCCTGTTGGCTAATCTGGATTATGAATTTAGATGTGATATTATGTTGGGACTACATGATAGACTTATCATTGATGCACTGGCCAGGATCCACACTGAAGCTATAATTCCTGTAACGTAATTAACATGGAACAATTTACATCAGATCAATACAGATTTGTACCAGTCTTCATTGAATTACTACAACTGACTATGAAATCATCCAGTAGTCATCATAACAGATACAATCAACTGTTAGATTGCACCTTCAATTTTTTAAATGATAGGGTGTGTCTGGTTAGTGCAAGAGCTAGCCGAGTCAGTCGTTGTTAAACTCACGAGCAGCGTCAACTACGCTATTTATGTAGGTCAGTCTTGTATAGAAAACCTGCACATTGTAGTTTATCTGCCTCAATCTTTGTATCTTGTGACTAATGCAATTTTGGTTGGAATTTAGAATAATTGGGGCTGTCAAGTAGGCCACGTTGTTGATACACATGTGACTGCAAATTCTGTACTTAGTTTAACTTTAGTAGTTACTTGAATCAATGCACTCTACAACCTCAATTACTGAGAAGTCATTATTTCCTTAACAATTTTCCTAATTCTTTTCAACCGACACTCATTGTGCTAATTTATTATGGTCATACAGTATGGGGTCTAATAGTGATCTTTGAGGTGATAATCTGGCTATAGCACATATTTGAGATTGAAAAGAAGCAATGAGTAGTTCATGCAACAAATGGACAAAGGTCATATAAGTGTATGTGGGTGTTACGGTTTACCTGTTGTCTAAGATTAGGTGAATACCTAAGCTCATTGTTGAGGACTCTGAGGATAAGACTGTTGGGATCGAAGCAATATCATAGCACAGTGATTATGGGCAATGCATAGCCGTGCTGTAATTATTTGACCTAAGGAAAGGGTATAAGCAACAAGACTCATAGAGTGGACAAAATGTTATAAGTACCTTGTAGCTGTAGTTCGATTTTTCTTCTTCATAGAGTTTATTAAATTGATTTTTTCATCACCAACTTGGTTTCTATCACAGTTAGCATATGAATTCCGGCGCATGGAATAATCCTAATGAAAGGTGTGAGTGCGAAATATGTGTCCTACTAACTATAAACTGGGAGAGAATAATTTATGCAGTAATGCAGTTGATAAGTGTTGTGCCTGGACCCACATAGCTACAGTGCACAGCTCAAGTTGTGATGATCACGCAACTTCATGCATTTGCTCTGTTTGCTCCTGCTTTGTTGAGTTAGTATAATTAGTAAGCAATAGTCTAGGGACTATAAATAGAGAGTTTTCCTCCACAGTAGATAGAGCAAGCAATTCAGTCTTTCCTCATTCCACAAAGATCATTCTCCACCCCACTTCTTGACCTGTCCGGCCCAGCAGCCCATCTGTGATCACTAGCAGCAAGCTCCCACAAATTGTATGTACACCCAAATCATAGACCTATCACAACAGATTATGAGCCCGGCGCATCCACTTACTTACAGGAGTTAGCTAACCATTGTGAAAAACCACAGATTAAGCATCATGAAAATGACTGATCCAAAGGAAATTCTTGGTAATGGTATCTCATTCATTGCTTGGAGAATGGCATTGCGTGCTAAACTTGGATGCAAAAACGTCCTGGGACATGTCTTTCACGACATGCCTGGGATCCGTCCAGTCAACATCCCTACAGATCCTCTATTAGGGAGCCCAAACGCCGATGATGCCAATAAACTCACGGAAAAGTACCTGGATGAATTCGAGCGCTGGACTTTGGGAGAAATCGAAGCAAAAAATATCATCACCCAACGATTATCTACGACCATCTGCCTCCAACATTACAACAATCTGACGGCCAAAGAACTCTACAATACTGTAGTCGGGACCAGGAATGAAACTGCAACCGCACTATATGCTGCAGCACTCGAAACACTGGTGTCCATCAGGTTTGTTAGTACTGCTGATGATTATGTTGACCGTTTCCTAGCAGCATACTAGAGTGTCAACAACGCGGCCGATGCAATTTTTAGACAGTTGTTAGCCTCTGGGTATTGCATAGGTGACAAACAAGCATCAGCTATTTTTGTGATGGGAACAAAGAGGATCAGATGGCTAAATGTTTGGCGTGATACAAGAGCATTCAATTCCGACAACAAGTATGCACCACTGCGAACTCTGATGTCTTCTTTGCGATCTGTGGCAGGCAATCGGATCCAGACACCCAACACAGTGGCTGCGGTGTTGTAAAGGTAAGAGCTTACGGAGGTTAATTGGCAGAAGGTTTACAGATGATTATCGATGAATCAATTTGAACTGCTGATATATTTGATATTCAGAACTATAAGGATTTAGGAGGTAGAAAGCGCTAGTTATATACACATCTGAGGTGGCTTGACTCTCGCCTCATTTACCCAAAATAGTACCACGGAATATTCTAGTCTCCTCCATCTGGCAGTACAATCTAGAAACACTTTCTATACAGTGCTCCATTAGTCTTCTACTCATCATGGTGCCACCTGAAAAGTTCTTCCTTCACCCTCAGTGATCATTACCCTCATGCATTGTAATCCTAGCCATCACCAGCACAACATGCGGTCGTACCCAACAGTATCAACATAGACCCAGAAGCATACTGCAAGAGGTACAAACACCGGCACAAGAATAAGTACTGTTATTGTCTTCACCCAGAATTGGCACAAGGAAGCAATAACCGTTCTAGGGTAATCAGGGGCAACGGCAAACAGGCCTCAGTCAGTAGCGTAGGAGACGATAGTGAGTCAGACTCAGGAGGGGTGATAATTGCTGCATCATCTCGAACGAATGAATCCGTTACACTCTATGATACAGGTGCATTGCACTACATCGTTCCACATTGTTCCACATTGTCTCATGTTTGGTGAAGTTAATTGCTCCCCTGGACCATTCAAGTTCGATCAGGCTGTCAGTACCAAAGAGCTATGTCAACAAGGAACAGCGACTCTTAAAATCGGGACATTTTCGCTCCAGCTCCATGAGACTTTTCTTTCTCCTGAATCTTCGTGCAATATTGTGTCAGCCGGTAGGTTGGAGAGGCTCAGCAACATAGTACCGGATCCAGAAAAGTCTCTATTGGTGCAGAAACGCGACAATGAGTCTAGTATTCCCGTAGCAAGACTGGTGCGCAAGAATGATGTATACTACATTTATCCCCTTAAAAAAACCGATGCATCACGAAGTAATGTAGCAGCTACTGGCGTTGTAAGAATACCGCAGACCGCAAGTGCACAACAATGGCACCAGAGACTCGGACACACGGGCCATATAATGCTGAAGAAAACCGCCCAACACACAAAGGGACTCGAAAATATAGACCTTAGTCAGCTCACAACATGCGAGACATGCCACCTCAGCAAAGCCAAAAGATTCGTATCTCGAGAACCTAGACCAATCCCGTACGCACCTCTAGATGAAATATTTATAGATACAGTAGGCAAGATTACCACTGCAATTAACGGACTACAGTATGTTGTTATAATTACAGATTCTAAAACTCGCATGAGATGGTCATTATTAACCCAATCCAAAGACCAGATTGCCTCTTCTCTTGTGCAGTGGATTTAATTTCAACACCATCATCATGGAAAGAAAGTCTGCGCAATCTTTAGAGACGGAGGCACTGAATTTCTATGCGTTAAATCGCACTGTGAATAGCATGGTATTCGTACAGATGTATCCACTCCAGATACACCTGAGCAAAATGGAGTATCTGAAGTAGCAAACAAGGTAGTTTTAAGACTCGCAAAGTCAATGCTGATTGATGCCCGCATGCCTGCACTTTATTGGCCCTGGGCAGTTCGACATGCATGTTACATTGTTAATAGATTATACTGCTTGCACACTAAACAGATCCCATTACTTGATTTCATGCAAGGCCTTCATCAGCTGCACACTGGTCAAGTAGACCTTACAAGTCTTCCAAGGTTTGGCTGTCGAGCATATAAACTAATACAACCGAAGCCAGGTAAATTCGAGCCCAGAGCAGCAAAAGGATGGTTTATGGGTTTCCAGGAAAATACTGACAAGAACTTCATCATTTATTATCCCCATTGGACAACATCACAGGGCTGGAAATGGATAGAAAATTTCACTCCCCATGCATCTTTCAATGAAGATATAATGTTTGGTGACGAGCTAAGTCCAATCAATCAGCAGAAAACAACGAACTACTGGGCCAGTGATAACTCATTATTTACAGAAACAATGAATTATCAACATAATCCTCCTTTAACTCCAGAACTTCAAACTCCAGCATTGTTTGAGGGGAAGTGTTCATCACCCACCACGCTAGAATCTTACTCTATTACACAAGATGCAACCGAAGATTCCGCATCAGCCGATAACATAAACAATCGGCCCAAATCAATAGTTCAAGAAGTGACTTCACTCTCGTCATCAGAAGAACAATTACCACCAACAGACATCAGAAATGTGAGTTCCCAAAGTAGTGAGCAAGGTTCATTAAGTGAATTGTACCACTCGAAAGATATAGCAGACTCCCCCCCAGAATCATCCTTCCCTAG